AAAAAGAAACAGGACGGTTTCATTTGTGCTGGCAGTCAGTTATGAGAGGGGCTTGAGGCCCCTGTGGGGATGCTGGGGTCACCAGGGTGCCTGCACCCGCAGGGCCTCCTTCCTCAGATGCTGAGGGCAGCGTGGCTTTGAGCCTGTGCTGCGGCAGAAGCCTGCCTGGCCCGTTACCCTGGGCCGTGGCCTTGCCTCCCCACCCTCACCCCATGAGCTGCGAGGCCCTTCACATTATCACTGCCCACATTCAAAACCGTGTCGTCACAGCTCCCAGCTGGCTTCCTGCACAGCAGAGCTGGCTCTCTCCGGAGGCAGATGCGGGTCCAGCCTTTGTCTCACACATTCGCCCGGCTCCTGAAGCGCACAGGGCGCCCTGCCTTCCCCAGGGCCCTTCCAACCCGGAGAATCATCCTGGCTTTTCTCCCCACTGTGGCCTTCCTCCCGCAAGTACGATGGGGCCGATAACATGGTAAAATAAAATCCCTCAAAATGGCATTAAAGCCCAGTAAATGTGTCATGAACTCACTGGCCCCAAAATTGAGTCCCCTTCCTAGAGAAATGGCACCACCTCCTGCGGGGGCGTGGGTGTGCTTCCGATCTTAAGCACAGTGCATACTTAAAATGCGCAGACCCGGTCAGGTGGAAGCGTCCCAAGGGAGGGTTCTCGTGCATACCGTGTCTTGGTCCTATGTCGCGTTTCTAGGACACAGATTCTGGGTCTTCGTGCTTCTAGGGCTGCAGCTGTGCCTGTGGCTCAAGAATGAGGAAGTGGAAAGATTCTCTTTTGAAATGTGTACACTCAGCCTCTGAAGGCTTCTTTATCTCTGTGTGCTCTGAAATCTGTCCACTGGGAGGCAGCAGGTGATTTTAGTAACGACTCACACACACACACGCACACACACACGCATGCGCACACACTTACCCCAACCCACTCAAAAGTGACCAAACTGCCCTAAATACAGTATACAGTAGCTCCAAGCAGTTCACAGTTACAAATGGAAGAGAGAATTCCAACATTT